TCAATTCTATTCTGATTTTAATTTCGATTTCAATTCCGATTCCGATTCTGATTTCATTAAAAACTCTTCCATCATACCAAACGAAAATTGATTCAGAGACAACATTGGAGACACATTTTTATGTGGGTAGAGACGGACGTATGGCTGTTTCTAATTTCGTCTCTACAATTATAAGAAATGTTTATATTTTTATTTTATTTCGTTAGCAATAGATTAAGCGATGGATAAATTTAATGGTTAGTGTTGTGATCAAATTCTTCAATAACTATTGAGGAATTGAATTATGTTTGCAGTATAATTAAAATATGATTACATTTCTAACAAAAAAATTAATATTAAATTACCTCATGGATTGGGACAAGTTGCGCCTCAAGTTCTTGTGTATTTCCATGATGCCCAGCACACCTGATTGTATGATGAACAATCGCCAATTTCCATGTAGCCTTAGAATTTTTAAAAGCTGAGTCCTCTTCCTGCCTGAAAAACCTCTAAACCATAATCAGCCAACTATTGAGAAGAAACTATTGTGAAGAAAGTGATTGTGTGCTTTGCAGATGAGAAACTTTTTTATATACCTCTCTCTTCCTAGCCATTAGACAAAAACTCATGGTCAGGATTCTCCGCTTCCCAACTACTGCACCCCTACCACTGCACTGGATCTGTATCCAAAACTATCTAGAAGTCAATAATGAAAAGAAAATCCATCAAGGAAAAGTATACTAACAAACAAATTAAAGCAATGGACCCAGCAGGAATTAAAGAATTAAAATATGTGTGTGTGTGTGTATGTGTGTGTAACTTTCTCACACAACTAGTTAAATATTTGAATTTTCTTGGTCATTCTGCTCTTTATATGTATAAGCAACAACATCCAAGTGAGTTCTTTTAGGATCAAACTGCCAACCGAAGCGATAAATAAAAGAAATCGTTGAGTAGTTATGTGTTCAATTGAAGCCAACCCAGCTGGTGAATTCTTTCAAGTTCAAGCTCACTTGTACAAACACATTTTCAGCTACATTATTTGCACACTTCTTTTATTGAGAGTTAAAAACTAAAATTTACAAATGAGAAAGGGAGAAGTTGAAAATAAAGTGTGTTGTATCTGAAGAAACAACGACTTAATCCTACAAACCAGCTATTAATTTAAATCTAATATAAATTAATGAAAGCATATATAATCATAGTCTTTGAATATGATAAACTAATATCAATTTTTTGACACAATATTTGGTATATTTGAATTTATTCTTAAATAATAATGGGAATAATTTCAATAAATTTATTAATTTTTTTGACTAAACAAATAAACCCTTTAATATTTATAGGAAGAATTACAGTTAGGTTCCAAAAGATTGAATTAATAACAAATATATCCCCAGCAAAATTTTATAAAAAAGAATTATGATTATCAATTCAAATAATTAAAAATAAAATTTTCTGTTACAATCTAATAGTTACATTTGATATTAAATATATATATTTACAGTTTAAACTTTTGAATTTGTAATTTATTTAGATCAATATTTTCAACTTAGTTTTTAAAAAAATTTATCGTATACTTAACTATTATCAATTCAATATAAGGGACCTAACTGCCATTCTCCCATATATATATATATATATATAAATTATAGTGAAAAATGAGATTTTTTATGTGAAATGAAATTACTGAGTTTTAGAATTTATTCAAATAATGATTAAATAATAAATTTAGTTATCTTATAAATTGTATGTTTAACTAACTATCCACAAAGCTCAGACCTTATGAAAAAATTATATATAATGATGATAGATATCATACTTGAACCACATGCACCTCTTTTTTCATGACATAGTTTTTGGATTTCCCTTTCCCTTTATTTTTATGGAAAAATCGCATTAAGAGTTTTAAAAAGGCAAAAATTTACACTACAAGCCCAATTCATTCTATTATTACACTACATGCCCAAGGGTTTTTGTTGCAATTTTTTTTGAAAGTAAAAGTACAATTTTGCCCTTATGTTATTTGAAAACTCAAATAATATATAACACAATATCTATGGATACATAACACAGTGTCTATGAATGCACAATATGATATTCATGCATGTCCAGTTGATCTATAAGTTAAAATATATATCACACAGAGTATGTACAATAAAATATCAATGGATATACAACACGATATTTATAGATACACAATACAATGTTTATGAATTCTTAACACAATGTTTATGTGTATCCATGCATGAACATTTAATTGAAAATGCATGAATATTATATTATACATCCATGAATATTATGTTATATATTATCTAATTCACTTGTACATTTTATTAAATCTACTAATCAATTAGACACGCATGAATATTATATTGTATATCTATAAACATTATATTGTACATCAATGAATATTATGTTGTACATAATTTGAGTTTTCAAATCATAAAAAGTCAAAATTTTACTTTCAATCACAAAAAAAAAAAAATTACAACAAGGGTTCTTGGACTTACAGTACAATAACAAAATCTATTGAGTCATCAGTGTAATTTTTTACTTTTTTAAGGCTTTAGCGCGGTTCTTCCTTTTTCCCCCTTTCCTTTCCCGCATGTTTAAACTAAAAACCACGTTATGGGCCGAAAACTGAGAATGCCAGGACCCAACTCAAGGAAACCCCACATTAGGCCCACTCAAGCATATCAGAAGGCTGGACCTTTTAAAAGTTAGTGAAAATGGGTTGGCCAACAACTATACATGTATTTCAACATTATTTTTCAATAAAAATATGATCACTATTTAAAAAAAATTATTTACAACAACTTCTAATCGTCCAAACATGCCTATTTCGTAAACTATTTACAAGAAAAATTGGTCAAGTCAAACCTTGCAAGTTAAGTTGGCCAAATTACAGAAATTAAAATTGCATGCCTAATTTAAAAAGGAAGAATTATCCCAAACTATTGAAATACTTGTACAAGTGATCAAATAATATTGGGAGAATAACAGATAAATTTCAAAAGGACTGATTAATTTAAATTAAGTCTTAAGTGTCAAACTTCATAAATGTACAATTTCTTTGCTTAATTTTACAATTTTATTGTGATGAGTTCACAACTTAATTTTTAAATTTTAACATGGTTAAAGAATAAATAAAGTTATTTTTAAAAAAATTAAAAATTAAACTTACAAATTTTTCAATTTAATATTTAGATTTTAGGACTTAATTTGAATTGGGACCTCTTTGTCATTATTTTAATAATTTTTTTTTTCCTGCTTTTATATCCACTGGTTGAGGATAGAATGGGCCCACCTGTGTACGTACCCCCACAACTAAAAAGTGATCAAAACTGGACTCAAGTCCCACCAATACATATACCCCGACAACGAACTTAATGTGAGAAAATGACACACATAACATACGTGGTTCTCAGAAGTTTACATTCCGTAGTATTATTTTTTTTTGCTAGCTGCCAGCATTTGGACCGCGCAGATAAAAGTCAGTTTGTTACATTCCATACTTTTTATTTAATGCAATATGCACTACATACAAATTACGTAGAAATTTCCCGTTTTCAAAGAAAAAATAACTAATAGATAATAAAGTAAAATAAAGTTTTGTGAATTAATACCAAATAAAAGTGATTAAAACTGAAAATTTTAATTTTAAACAAAATAATTAAAAAATTAATTTAATATTATTAGAGTGTAATAAATATTATATATCTTAACATCGTTAAAAAACCCGGGCGATGGCGAATTGATACCAAACGTGCCATTTGAAATTTGTAGGTGTCTTCCCGTTTTCTGTGCCCAAATTTGTTTTTAAAAGTTTCTTTCTCGATCTTCTTTAATTTCTTTTAGGCCTAATTTTTGCGGCCTTTTCTTTTATCAGTTTCATTAAATTAATCTGTTTTACCCCTTTCAAACTTTGTCGATAAATTAGACCAAGATGTTGAACTCACAGTAAGACGGGGTACCACTCCAAGTTAATTATTATACTCAAAATATAATTTATACAGTAAAAATCAATGATATATTTTAAATTTACCCTGTACTTTTTATTTTTTCTTATACATTCTTTTAATATTGATTCACTGAATTTTGTAAAATACCATACTTTTAATTTAAAAAAAAAGTAAAAATTTGATTTAAAATTATTAGAATGTGTATTTAAGGTGCTTGTTTCCAATAAAATTAAGACATGTGTATCTTTTATAAATTATTTATTCTTTAAAAAATTCTTGTTATTAATAGTATTAACACATTAAAGTCCACATATCTTGATTTGATTAGATAAAAGCATATTAAGTATATAAAGTTTAGTACAAAAGTCTTGCCTTTTTTAAATTGCACCAAGTTAATTCCTAGATACATATAGTGGTCATTTATTTTATCAATTGTTCTCTCACTGACCTAAGTTCCGAGAGGATTCAACAAACCTAACATGTAAATCAGGCCAATTTCTGAGCGAGATCTTAACTTAGTCCCATCTATACATATACCCCCACGACTAATTAATGTAAGAAAATGACCACAATATTATTACTCAAGCATAAGAGGCTCTCATAGGTGTACATTTTATAGTGTTATTTAATGCAATATGAACTGCGGACAAATTACTTGCCAGCAATCTACATTTTATAGTGTTACTTATTAATTTCCATATTTTCGAAATTGAATTGCGGACAATCTTCTGACATATGTTTAAGTTGGAACAGGTCAATTTACTTGCCTGCAATCTACTTAATAATGTTCGAAATTGACTTGCCAGCAAATATAGTTGAATTCCTAACTAATCATTATCTAGTTCGAAACTTTGTGGATGAAATTTAATTCTTTGAAAGTCTGTTTTCTTCTATGCACTTCCAGGTAGTAAATATGAGAGACCCCACTGTTCAAATCATGCTTAACCCTAATCTGAATAAGCCAGACCTAAATTGAGTTTGATGGTTTTCCCGAATTACCAGCTCTAATCTACTCTATATAAGCACCAAGTGAATTCTTTCAAGCTCAAACTGCAAATTAAGCATATAGGTTTATGAGAAAGAGCTCTTCAAAATCAAAGAAATCGCCATATAGTTATGGATTCCATTGAAGCCGTCCCAGAAAGTGAGTGCTTTAAAGCTCAAGCTCACTTATACAGGTACATTTTTAGCCACATTAATGGCATAGTTCTCAAGTGTTTTGTTCAGCTAGATATCCCTAACATAATCTACAAGCATGGCCAACCCATCACTATTCCTCAATTGATCTCCAAACTAGAAATTCAACCAACCAAAACTGCCTTTGTAGAGAGGCTTGTTCGCTTCTTGGTGCACAATGGCTTCTTATCAAAAACCAAAGTGCACGAGCAAGATGAAGAAATGGAGGTATACACTCTCACTTCTTCTTCTAAACTACTCGTCAAATGCATGGAACCGAACCTGGCACCAATGGTGTTATCGTTTGTCGACCCTAGTTTCTTGGATTCGTTTGATTTTTTGCGAAGCTGGTTCAAACGGAAGGAGACGGTAACTGAGGTTGCCCTTGGGGCAACCATTTGGGAAATTTTTGAAAGAGATTCTCAAAGATTGAAGTCTTTCAATGAAGCCATGGCAAGTGATTTACGAATGATCAGCGTCATACTTAAAGACTCTAAATCGATCTTCCAAGGATTGGAATCCATAGTTGATGTTGGAGTCGGCACATGCACCACATGCAAAATCATCTCTGAAGCATACCCTCATCTGAAATGCATAGTTTTTGATCGTCCAAATGTTGTGGAAAATTGTTCAGGAAGCAATAACTTGAGTTATTTTGGTGGCGACATGTTTGAATACATACCTTCTGTCGATGCTGTACTATTGAAGGCAAGTTAAAAAATTATTTAGTCTATAACAAAACTCTTATTACTAAGATTTTTAACATTTTAAAACTTACTTGTTTTGATTTGATTGGATAAAATATCCATTAATTATATAAAATTAAGTATGTTTGTCATCTCTTTTTATTAACATCAATAGTTTCTAAATTTTGATTCAAGTCCCAACTAATCTATATTGTGCCGACCAAATTAAACTACATATGTTAAATCTCTGCCAATCATTTACTTAATTCCTTTATTTATATACTATTGCTTTAGGTTTTAGATTTCTTATTATTAATGTTGTTATTGAATATTTAAATGAATGTTTGAAAAGGGAGAACATTTGGTGTTGGTGATGATTTTGTGCAGTGGATGTTACATTGTTGGGATGATGAGCACTCTTTGAAGATACTGAACAAATGTAAGGAGGCAATTGCAAAGAAAGGCGAAGGAGGGGTGATAATCATTGAGGCAGTTGTAAAGGAGAAGGAAGATGACAATGACATGACACTATTCAATTTGAAACTCTTGTTTGATGTTATGATGATGAGTATGGTCAACGGCAAAGAAAGAACTGAGAAAGAATGGAAGAAGCTTCTTGTTGTTGCAGGCTTCAAACATTACAAGATTACTCCTTGTTTTGGTTATAGGTCAATCATTGAAGCTTATCCTTAATTATTGTCTACTACTTCTTCTGTCCACCTTGTGTTATAAGATGTTTCTCGTTTTGATTATCCTAAATTGTTATCTGCTTTGCAACTTCTGGCCCTCTCCTCGAAGTAGCATGCCTCATGAATGGTGATGTAAACTATTCACAAGTTTATGGAATAAAATTTGCTGCAGTTATTTTAATTATTTCCAATATTTTTATCATTTCAGCACGTATTGTTGTTTTAATAAATTAATCATTTTATCAGTGTATTTTTATTAGGCGTTTTTTGCCATTCACTAAACGGACTTTAACAAACTGAAAACCGAATATACGCTTGGTGTTTTGGTCATTCGTTGAAATAAAGTTGTTGTTACCTTAAAAATTATAATCATTCGGCACTAGGGATCACTAAACTTAAGTAGACTGATAAAATAGATTTGGAGAAATTAAAATAGTTGTCACTGGGTATATATATATATATATGTGTGTGTGTGTGTGTGTGTGTGTGTGTCATTTTGCTAAAAGAAAGTAGTCGTTATCCTAACCATTAGTCGTTCACCTCTTGGCACTTTTTTAATAGAGGCAATATAATTAATAATATGATAATTTTCCAATTAGGTAAAAATGTCAGAAAAAGAATTAGGAATAATAAAAATAATAATGATAATAATCAAGATTGTTAAACTCATGAGTTTAATGATAGGAATATAAACTCAAAACGTAGATTTAGATTGTAAAATTTAAGAGTTTACTTCTATTAATAAATAATTTTTAAAAGTATATGATTAAATAATTAAAATATAAATATGAAAATAATTTAATTTAAATATACATCATTGACATTAAATCTATCTACATTCATAGATTATTATGCTCAATACCAAAAAAAAAAAAATTGTATTGTTCAATGTCTTTCAATGGCTGTTGGAAAGGTAGTCTTTATTAAAGACAAATATGCAGACTAGAAGTTTGTATCTCTCTTCTTCACAAAGGTGATAATATAACCAACTTAAGCTATCTGACCTTAACTCCTCTACTTCAAAAATGAAAAACAAGGATGAACAAGGTATGTTCAACAACTACAGGAAATACTCTCTTTAAAAGTTAATTTACAATCAATGAAGTGCAAGTATAAAAAATGTAATCACATAAGGTAGGTAATGAATTGAATGCTTAAGTTCGTACAATAATTTTTCTATATTTGTCTTCATAAAGGAGCCTATTTACGGTTGAAGTTGATAATTAATCTGTTATACACATCTAACTAGCCATTAGACTCTCCTTTTTTAGCCTAAGCTTCTTCAAAAAGTATGGTATTTGCATAACACTTTTCGACAGAGTTATGCGCTCATGGCAACTCAATAAATTAATATCTATATATATTTAATGCTTTGACAAAAGGTAAGTAAAAGAATACCATTAGAGCAAAATGCAATACAGATAGTAAGGAAAGATTAAGATTTAACAAGTGTTTGAATTTTCTTAAAGTTGTGTTTAGAAAGCTTCTAAATGAACAAAAAGGCTGACACAACTTACTAAAATGGAAAAGAACAAATAAAACCTTGAATCGAAGCTTACAAAGGTGAATACAAAAAACAACGCCACGCAATTGGCTTTAGTATCGGTAGTAATGTTGTTAATACCGGTAGTGCCATGAACAAATATGAGAATAAAAAGTAAGAACTACAGGTAGTATCACAAGAATACGGGTAGAGCTAATATAGAATCGGTAGTGTTGAACACTAAGAGACGTTAGTTTATAAGTCACGCAATACCGAAAGTATTTGAAGAATATACCAGGATTGAGGATACATTATCGGTAGTGTGACAAGAATACCAATAGAGATACTAAGAATGAAACATGTGAAATAATACTGGTAGAGAGAAAATACTATGGGTAAAGACACAAAAGTGTTGATAGTAATATACCAATATGGGTAGTGTCAAGAATTAAGACAAAAATTCTCACTTACTATTTACTACTGGTAGAAAGGGTCTAGTACTCAAAGTAATATGAATTCATTGTGAAGATCGATGATAGTAGTAAAAGTCTTTTCTTCCCAAAGAGTTAAGAAATGAACAAAATAAGGCTTTAAAGGAATCTTAGTATTTTTATAATACATCACTCATTGAGAAACTAAGAATCAAAGGCTTTAGATTGAACAAAGTTCATATTAGTACCGGTAATATCTTACAAATACCGGCAGTGATACTTCATAAAAATGAAAATCAGAGTTTAATGTATTCAAGCTCATTTATAACTTAACTTCCCTTTCCTCAGACATAATTTAACATATTAAGCAAAATCTTATTTAATTTGTTATTACCAAAACCGGGGATCAACATTTCTCTACTTTTTTGATAATCACAAAACTAGATGCAACTTGTTAATTTTGAGAAAGGTTTTGCAATCTCCCCATTAAACAGGCAATAAAAATAATCCAAACATTGGATAAAGAGAGAATAGTCTGAAAAATGCACTGTATACATTGATAATCAAACGAGAGTTAGCACAAAATATATAAGGAAACAACAAAGAAGAAACACTAATGACATTGTTCAAAGTTCAAAAAGAAGCAGGGCTAGAAGCAAAGAACAAGGTTTATTTTTGGGAGGTTTTAATGGAAGCTAGGCTATCCATAAAATGTTTGAAATGAGCTCCAAGAGATAGAGGTTGAGTTTGAGAGGCAGAGGCTGAAGGCTTAGGAGATTTCACACTTGGTTTCATTATTTGATTTTTAAACAACATGCTTCTTTCCCTTATTTGATTTCCCTTTCTTAGCAACTTCTTAAATAACCACAGTAGGCTTAGGCTTATCTGATTCCTTCTCCTCCTTTTTCTCATCATCAAGGGGTTGTTTTTCAAGCTTAACAGGCTTGAATATGTCAGAAGGAGCTAGTGGTTTCTCAATATATAAGCCCAATTGCCTCAGCTCTTCCATTTCTGTAAGTAAAGGTCTTGGAATGATCTAAGGAGTCATTTTAGTTATTTCCCTAGAAGATAACAAAGTGGTGAGAGGTAAAGGACTCTTAAAATAATCTGGCTTGAGCTGCCTCAATTCCTCAAATAATGTGGCAACAAGAGGCACCCCGGCAATAATGGTAGAAGAGGTAGCAACTTGATCACCTTTTGCTTTTAGATTCTCATCTTCAACTTGGATTTGGATTTAGGTCCATACATTTTTAATTACTCAAATAATGAATTTGACTCAAGTTCAAATTTATATATATTTATAGTCATTTCAGCTCCAGAGATTAATAAACTTATAAATTGATTACAGAAATTGGAGAAACTAGTTATCAATCACTGACATTTTTTGGTTCGCTGAATTATTACCTTAATTAACAATTATAGTCATTCAATAGATAATGGAAGAAAATGACCACAAAATTATTATTCAAGCATAAGAGGTTCTCATAGGTGTACATTCAATTGTGTTATTTAATGCAATACGGACCACGTACAAATTATTTAAGAATTTCCACATTTTCGAAATTGACTTATGGACAATCTTCTGACATATGCCTAAGTTGGAACACGTCAATTTACTTGCCATCAATTTTCTTAATTAAGTAAGAAATTGACTTGCCCGCAAATAGAGTTGGATTCAATTATAGTCATTCAATGGATAAAATAAACTTCGAGAAATAATTAGTAGCCACTGGCTAAGTATTTTTTTTTTTAATCATTCGCCCGATCAAAACAAAGTAGTTATTACCTTTAATCATTATAATATTCAGTTTCAATAATAAACTTGTAGATTGATAAAATAAATATGGAGGAATTAGCGATAATTAACTACGTGTTTTTTGTCATTGGTAAGGGGGAAAAAAATCACCGCCTTAGTTCCTAGGATTCTTTTTTAATTTTTTAAAGAAAAATCTTATGGCTTAAATGTATAAAACCCTCCATAAATATTGATATACTTGCATATAATTCTTTCACTTTTAAACGTTTAAAATTAACTCCTTCTAACTTTTAATTTTATTTTTCAAAGCTCCTTACTATTAATTACTTTGTCATATTGTTAACAAAGTTTGCTGTATTAGATTAAGAAAAACCCACATGGAAGCTTACGTAGTGGCATTTTATATGTAAAAAAATGTACAAAAATTATATTATTTTTATAAGGACTAAAACGTCATTTATCTGGCCAAATGTTGCTTTAATTGATAAAAGATAATAAAATTACAGTTTTTCCTTTAAATTGTGTTAACAATGAATAATGAGAATAATGTCACTTAACTAAAGAAAATAAGAGCATTATCATATGTGTTAAAAGTATGAGTATATCGATATATGAGTAAATATGGTTTCAGGTAGTAAATATGAGAGACCCCACTGTTCATTTGCTTGACTTGACTTTTAATGGTTTATTAATTTATGATGAGTATGTCAATATTTAATAAACTCTATATAAATTATATTATTTTTAAATATGAATAATATATCATTATGCCAAATGAAAGAATTTCTTAATTATTTTTTAATTTTTGAGAGAATTTATTTTTAAGTATGAAATTGCATATTTAAATTATTAACTTATTCCCAAAATAAACTAAAAAAGGTAGGGATAGTGGAGCAAGGAGACGATAGGCGTGAAAAGGGGGAGGCATACAGAACAAGAAGCAATGGATGAGTCTCCTAAAGATCCCGATCCGCGCGTGCAACGGCTACATAATTTGGGCCATCTTTTAATCGGGAAGGCCTAGAAACCATCAACTTGGATAAAATTGAGTCTAAGGAGCTGCAGCCCATTAATGCTAACAATAGGCCAACAAAAAGAAAACATAGTGTTGTTAAAGGAAATAAGAGAAACTTGGGCTCTTCAGATAAGCCCAGAAATGTGAATGCTACTTAGCCGACCACTGAATTTCAAGACACAGATAAAATCAAAGCTGCAGATTAATTCCCCCCCCCCCCCCGGACCTTAGCATCAAGACAACAGCTATAAATGATCCAGGAAACTCTCAACAAAATTCTCCAATTATTTCCAATCCTCTCATTAATCATAGAAAGCCTCCCGACCTAGAAAATAATCAAAGCATTGTTCCATAAACTTAATTCAATGAATCTGCCAATATAAAATCTCACAACAATTTATTAAGACTAGTTGATATTCAAGAAGACTTTTTGCACGATAGGACATTGATGAGGACATTCTTGATGATGATTTTCTTAATGAAGATTATGATAATC